GTTGTCGCACTTCCAAAGCAAGTTCATGGAAGGGCTGTGGCGATGAAGCATCACTTCTCCCGTCTGGCAATTGTCGCAGGATTGTGAGAGTGCCTCCGACAGGATCTGAGCCATTGCTTCGTGGGGATCGCCAATCATCGCTGCTTCGGCTTCCTCCTGCTCCCGACCGAATCGGAGGAGCTGATTGGCTACCACGTCGCACCATGAATTGGCACCGTTCATGTCCTGGTCGAGCACGTCCTCCTCCTTGATCTCGATCTTGTTGGCCATAGGTCGCGCTCGAGACTTGTAGGCTGTGAGTCTTGCTGAAGTCATCGATGCTGCTGCAGCTTTTGGTGTCTGTGCCATAAGTGGCGTTGAACTGTCCGAGGGACTGGAGCTTTCCACCTTCTGGTTCTTGGCTTTGGTCTTGCTCTTCGGGTCCTTCTTGTCGTAGAAGGGGTCCGGGATGAAGCATAGGTGGTTGTTCCAATGATGAAGCTCCGTGAGAGGGGTCAGTGGCATGGTTTGTCGTTGAAGGCATTCGGTGCATTCGTGATAGCATAGGATCCTGTTGGCACCGTGTTTGGTCAGGTGGTGGCTGCACATCGGAGACGGCTCCGAGGCAGGCACCAAGTACTTCCCATTGCCCTTCACCATGGCCAATGGCCTCACTCTCTCCTCCCGGCGGGCGGTTGTCAGCTGGCCGGATGTCATCAGCGAGGGCGCTGAGTCTTTGGCCTCTGAAAGAACACGTTGTTCCTGTTGTGCCAGTAGCAAAGCTTGTTCCTCCAGTCGTTGCCGGCGTTGTTGAATACGACGGACCTCCCTGAGCTGTGGAGTTCGGAGGACCTCTTGGAAGATCTGCCAGCACTGGAGGGCTGCCGATGCAAGCAAGCGCAGCAACAAGCGCCGCCAGCGGGCCCATCGCTGCGAGGCGGTCACCATCCACCGGCCAGTCGGCTGGCCAGGGAAGCGAAGCCCAGTCCGGGACGGGCTCAACGGACCAAGCTTGGCTTGCAGAAGCTGCAAAAGTCGTGGGCACAGTGAATCCCTGACTTCCAAAATCAATGATTGAAACTGCAACATGTCCTGTTGACAATCTCTTCATGCTCTGACTCGTGCCGATCTTCGAATACAAAATGAATGCACGCTCCATGTCGATCACGGCACCGAGGTTGGTGAGGAAGTATGCGGGAAGAAGAAATGGGATTGTACCTGGAACAACCTGAACTCTCAATACTCCCGAACAGGAACCGAGGCCAATGGGGACGTATGCAATAGATGTAGTTTCTTCTTTGCCGCATACTCCACGAACACTTCCCCCTGACTCTGGTGACCATTGAACCTGAATCCCAAAACGTTCTTGTAGGAGGTGGTCATGACGTTGAAGGGTCTCCAAACCAACAAGGCCGTGCTGAGCGGCGGTGTCCACCAAAGCCGTTCCCTCGTCCTCATGGACGGCCAAATAACAAAAGGAAAGAAAAGCTGCGGGCATGTATTCCTCACTCTTCTTCAGCTCAGGTGTCGTGGTGAGAAAACTACCACCTCCCGTCAGTGTTGTTGCGGGAGGCTGCACAAAGAAACCGGTGCTCATGCCCGTGGTGGATCCTGAACTCCTCGATGTCGGTGAGGCATGCTTGGAGCGATGTGGACACTCGCGGCTCCAATGTCCAACTTGTTTGCACTGATGGCAGCGTGTCTTGGCTTTCAACTCCGTCAAGGTGAGCTTCGAGCCTTGTCGCTGCTGCCATGGACGGTCATAGCCTCTTCCATTGCGGCTTTGTTGAAGTAGCCGTCGATGCTCCAAGTAGCCGCCGCCGCGACCTTGTCCAAAGCTTGGTGCACCTGCTCCATAGGTGCGGTGTGCAGGACTCTTGCTCTTTCCCTTCTTGCCTTTGCCCTTGCCTTTGTGGTGATGATGGAGTCGATGCTGGGTCTCGTAATAGACGTCTTCGATATGCCCGGCGACTGCATCCAAGGCATCAGCCTCGTCCATCACCACTGGAAGCTCATCTGGGAAGACCAGCTGGGCCTCATTGTTTTCACTCATGCAAATCAAGTCCTCGAAGATGTCAGTCTCCTCGATGTCGTAGGCCACATAGCTGGAAGCATCTTCATCTTCCCAATCATCATCAGGCTCTTCACCCCAGTACGAGGCACTGCGCCATCGCCTGGGTGTTCCAGGGTGTTCACCTCCATGCTGTTCATCCAAACGGTCACCGAAGACCTTCTGGATGGCCTTCTCCAAGTCACGGAAGTCGATGCTGCCGTTGGTCACCACCTTCAGCCGTTGACGTTGGTCCTGACTGAAAGCTCCTTGACGCAAAATCAAATGCCCAAGAAGGTGTCTCCCGGCCGTGGTGGCCAACAAATCCAAGCCCTGCTTGCGAAGCTCTGCGAATGCTGCCTTCTTGTTCGTGAGGAATGCCGTCAATGAAGTTCCTCTGTCTCTTCGGCCTTTGAAGATGGCCTCATCAAAAGCTTGTTCAAGCCGTTGATCTTTGAGGTATTCATGAGCTTCTTCTATCAAGCGGACAATCTTTCGATGTCCATCATCTGCGCAGATCTCCTCCACGGTGAGGTGGGCAACAAGCGAAGCCAACTTCGATCCAAGCGGGATCGAATCAATGATCCTCTTGCCGATCAGATTGGTGGGCAACCGTGCTTCGGCCTCGACAAGCCACAGGGAGAGATTCCTGTGGTATTCTTTGTATTGCTTCTCCGGTGCATCGCCTCCCCAGCTAGGAGCTGGGTCCAACCTGTAGTCAACATGCTTTCTTCGTTCCCGACCTGAATTGGATGCGGCCGGTGTTGCGGGCCTAGGTGGTTCCACCAGGTCAGCAGCAGCTCTGCTCCAAGGATCTTGTAATTCAGGGGGTCGGGAATCAACTTGTTGATATTCTCCCGAAGGTCGTGCATGTCCAGGAGAGCTCGAAGGCATGGCCGCCGTAGGTGATGTAGGCGGGGCCGCCGTGGGAGAATTCACTGATGTAGCGGCGGTTCCTCGCCAGGTGCGAGCCGGTGGCGGCATGTCGCACAAAAAGAAAAGGTAAAGCCAGAAAAGCGTCCCAGTCCAATGATCTGGTACTCGGTGGGCTCAAAGGTGTAGATCTTTCCCAAAGGCGCTGGGTAGGAACTCCCGGAGGTGGCCCGGGTCTATCTCTTCTCAACAAAAAAAAGCTTGCCAGCTGGGGCGTCCCCCTTCCAACAAGCCACCTCGCGGGAGCCCCCCCGGTCGTCACCGAGGGGCTCCGCTACCACTGTCAAGTGGCTGGCGCACTCAAAGCGTTTTCGCCATCGCTCGTGACTCAAGGCGCCTAAGGTCGTAGGCGAATGGGCATTCGGGCCCAAAGGGATTCCGGATCAGGATGCATCAGGTGTGGGCCAAGCGAACCATGGATTGGGTTTGTCAGCACTTGTTACTACTAGCGTGGCACTTGTTTCTAATAGCTTCTTGAAAATAACACTTTTTGAGCGGCTTTGCTAATTGTGCCAAGTGTGTAGCGAATAGGCTGCTGGAGATACGCTGTCTGAAGGAATGAGTGTGCCAAAGCCATTCCTTTGCCAACGATTGACATGACTTGGGCAGCTTTCTGTCCCACCCTTTGCAGCCTTTTCATCATAGAGTCTTTCATGGAAAGTGCGACGGATGAGATGCCTTGCCAGATTTGGTTCTTTTTCTTGCGACTTTGGGATGTCCACTTTGGGATTGGTGTCTTGGCATGTCTTGGCTAGTATGGAGGCCATCGCTACTAGGGTAGAGGCCATCGCTGCTGGGTTGGAGGCCATCGCTACTAGGGTGGAGGCCATCGCTATTAGGTTGGAGGCCATCGCGTGAGGCCATCGCTATTAGGTTGGAGGCCATCGCTAGTGGCCGCTAGTGGGTGTGAGGCCATCGCTATTAGGCCTCTACCCGACTAGCGATGGCCTCCAACCTACTAGCAGCGATCGCCTTCAACCTAAATGGAACAGAAGAAGGCGGCGCTCAAGCTGTCACCCCTGGCAGCCCTGCCGGAATCCCTCGGGAATGCTCGAGCACCCGCATGCGGACCACAGTCTCACAGATTGCACGTGTGTTACACGGATTCTATGGGGCTAAGGCCACAAAGCCAACTGATATACTCCTCATCAGCATCAATGAGGAACATGAACAGATTTTGTCAAACCATGTTGAACAGGAACAAGGGCATCGCTACTAGGGGCTCCTGGCCTTACTACTAGGAGCAAGAACGCTACTAGGGGCTCCTGGCATCGCTACTAGGAACAAGAAGCTACTAGGGGCTACTAGCGTTCGACGGCTCTTCCAAAGGTTTCCGGTAAAAGTGGAAGACGTCGGAGCAGCTTTTGTTTTTGCTTCGCCCTGGCTACGTTAAAGCGGTGTCCCTTGCTCAACGGTGTCCCGCCAACCGAACTACTTTCGATCACTCAGCTTCGGGGAACGACTTTGGAAACCGTGGACAGACTGCCAATTAATGTTTGTATTACTTGTTCTTTTATTGTTTTTGCTTGTTACTTTTGACATTTTTAAACATTCTTTTATTTAGCCCGCTCCTACTTAGTGAAGTAGGCACCTACTTAATTGAGTAAGGGTGACTGGTTGGCTCCTAGGTTGGACGCAGCTCCCCCCGCCGCTTCCTTGAAGAAGCGCTCGCACCCGACGCAGAGCCGACGTCGGAACTCAAACGATGGAGAACTCTGTTACTAATAGCTTCTTGTTGCTACTAGTAAGGCACTTGTTATTACTAGCGTGGCACTTGTTTCTAATAGCTTCTTGTTACTAATAGTAAGGCCAGGAGCCCCTAGTAGCTTCTTGCTCCTAGTAGCGATGCCCTTTGCTCCTAGTAGCTTCTTGTTCCTACCCCTTCCTTTTCTCTCTAAAAATCGAAAATTTAAAATCCCTTTCCCAGGGTCTACCCTAATGGTATAACGAACTATGCCGAGAAGAACATCGTCGCACATCATCAAACCTGATCAAATGCATTAACACCCTCAAATGCGGCAGAATTTCAAAATCCCACCTCCAAGACATAGGACTGAACATTTTGCACCTCGAGCGATCAAAAGGATTGCTCGAGGTCTTATCGGTCAAAGCCGAAACAAGGCATGTCGGCATACTTTTCTGAGTCAAACTTCATGCAAGTGCGACCAAAGTTCTGTAGGGTGTTCTTTACCCAAGTGCTTGCGTTCTTCTTTTTAATTTCCACATATTGGACACTTCATATCATTTCTGACAATCTTTATACAGCTTCTTTCGTATCCGATGTGTTTTTCGTTCGAGTTGCGAAGTGGTGCATTTCATGACGAAGCAATGTGCAGCGGTGCAAAGTTTGCCGTGTCTCCAGCAACGACAGGCGGTCCAAGCTGTCCCGTTGGTCTCGGCACCTCAAGGTGAAAAGCAAAGCGGACAAAAACAAGCGAAGACTGAAAAGAGTGTGTAAGATTCAGCCCTGCAATATTGCAGTTGACATCACAATCGAAAAGAAAAGGAATCCGTTGAGAACTCTGAGAGTCTCTGAGAGATGAGAGGGAGCGATCTGGAGAACCAGTTTCCCCTCCCTACTAGCATCTACTAGCTACTTAGCATCTACTTACTTATTAGCTACTTAGCAGCTACTTCCTACGAAGTTTGCCTTTCGACGTCTTCACATTTTTGGAGATCAAGGCAGGTAAAAGTAGGAAATGACGCTTCAGGTTGCTTTCAGCAAAACTTCAGCGACATGAAGTTTCAATGTGGGCGCAGCAAGTGCCATGTGATCGCCTGGAATATCGTGGCATGTTTTGAGCGCAACCGTTTAAACCGGCGTACGTCTCTCTTTCGCCTCACTTTTCGTTTTAAAGCGTGATTATTTTAATTCTAATTTGTTACTACTAGTAAGGCACCTGTTACTACTAGCGTGGCACCTGTTACTACTAGCATCCTTGTGTTTCTATTTTTTGCCGGGGGTAGGGTAGGCCGCGGATAGAGAAGCCTTTGTAGTTGACTAGGACGCTTCTAGGATGGACAGCGGGAGCGTCGATTTGGTTCTTTTAGGAAAACTGGTTGGAGACCATCGCCTAAGTAGCTGGAAAAGAATCGGCCAGCTATCGACGAATAGAGCTGGCCTAAGTAGCTGGAAGCTTCGAAGCCTGAGCCTTAATGATTTGATTCCATTTGCTACTACTAGCAATGGCCTCCAACCTAAGAGCGATGGCCTCCGACCTACTAGCTTCTTGCTACAGTTGCGATCCACTATCTTTTTTCTGGTCTTCTGCCGTTTGTTTGTTTTAATTCTAATTTGTTACTACTAGCGTGGCACCTGTTTCTAATAGCTTCTTGTTACTACTGCTTTGAGTAAGGCACAAATGTCTCTGTAGCGCCATATGCTGATTCCAGCTTGCAGCCAAAGCATGTGAGACGCGCCTTAGTTCCAACCCGTGGTCGGTCCGGTCGAAAATAGACTTGTCAACTCTTGTCGGTCTAAGTCTTGTCACCGACTCTTAAGACTTTTAAGTTTTCTCTTCCAGCAGCTTATTGTTTCTATAAGCGAATAGCAAAAAGCACACCTTAACCTATATGATCTTGTTTCTAATAGCACACATTGTTACTACTAGTAAGGCACTTGTTACTAGAAGCGATGCACTTGTTACTAGTAGCGTCTTGTCACCGACTCTTAAGTCTCCATTTGTCTTCGACTTTTTGAAACGAAGTTTGGTTTCTTTCACCAAGCGTCCTAAGCTTCCACAGAAAGGAAAATGCACGGTCGTACTTCTGCATAATGTTTGGCGTGAACACAACCTTGGACCGGAGAGGAGACACACCGCGAATAGGGAAAAACACCGTAAACACTCTCTTGTCGTCACTTTGTCTGGCCACGTGCAGTGGTGAATCGATGCTGTAGTCCAAGAGAAACACATCCCAACCACGTTCGCCACGTTCCGGACTTCGAAGTTTAATACCAAGTCTGCCCAGCACATCGACCGAGCAAAACTGTGCATTGGATTGCCGCAGTGCCTCGAAGCACATCTGCTTACATTTTCCAAAAAGGCGTCTGAACATGGAAATGTTTTGACAAAGTGACCATCTCCAAAATCCCCATGAGTTGATGTTTATGGATCTTATTGGCATCGATGTCGAGCTCCTGCACCGGAAAAAGTCGGGTGCTTGAAAGAAACCTATTTCTTTTTGGAAAAAAATCCAATCAGGTTACGTTTTCCTAAAAATCGAACCTGAATAGTGCAAACGCTTAGAAACTAGTCTAGCTTACCTATAAGCTAACTTAGAAGTTCTGTTTGTAGCGTCCTTGCTCGTAGCGATGCTCTTTGTTACTACTAGCGTCCTTGTTACTAGTAGTAAGGCACTTGTTCCTAGTAGCGTCCTTAGCTTAGTCCTTGTTACTAGTAGTACTTCGGAAACCGCATTCTGACCGCATTCTCTCTCACCTCCTGGAGGGCATCCATTAGACTTTGCACAAAGTCTCCTTGGCCAAGCAGCAAGAACCGCCTCACACATAGAAGAACTTGTTAGGTGCCAAAAAAGAACATATGCACAAAACAGCACTGAGAAATCGAACGAGAACATGCATTGAAACGGCCTGAGAGCCAATGCATGCTCACCTCAGATTTTCTGAGAAGACTTGCGTCATCTTGCGTCCTTTTACCGTGTTCTGACAACACATGCAAGCTGATAGAAACCTCTCCACAAAACCCAAAGCAGAATTACCGGGTAAAAGGAGGTAGTCGAAGCCACCGGAGAGGCTCCGAGACAGTACCCCAGGAAAGTGTCCCCGCAAAACCTGCGAGTCTTTCCAAAAGCCCACTTCAACTAGCGGCTGGCAATGGCAAAAACTCAGCACGTGTAGAACAAAAACTAAACGACGAGTGGCCCGAAAGCATTTTCCATCACGTGTGAAGTCAGAGTGTGAGTTATGTGTTAAGTGTTCAGTGTGAAGTGTTAAGTCGAGTGTTTTGAGGCAGTGTGTGGGTCTCTGTGTGTGTGTGTGTGTGTCACACTCTGGTTCCAAGGGTTTCCCACGGTTTTCACTGGTATCTTCGTTTCTGCTTCCACAGATGCAGGGGGTGCAAGCAGCCCATCCAGTCTTGCACCAACGAAGACACTGGATGTGTGCTGGTGATATCGATTTGGGACGCCAAATCGACGTACCTGCAGAGTTCTTCACACGCTGTTACTCCACTCTTCCACGGTTTGATTCCATGGTCCTTGCATGATAGACCCCTAAACCTTTTCCCACCGCAGGCTTGCAGCCGACTTGCAACCGTACTGACTGTCAGAGTGCAAACATTGTTCAACCATACAGTTCTTGCCGACCTTTTCGCCATGCCGTTCCCTCACCTTCCTTCTCAACGTGGAAATTGAGTAACTGAAAACCCAAGTTCGAAGTGTGGACCGCTCAGTCTTCCCACTCGGGTACTGGGTGTGATCCTCCGAAAGGAGGCGCTGTTATCATTTCGGAATGCATCGTTCTTTCTTTTCCATAACTGATTCCACCGTTTCGATTTATCCCTGAATTTTCTGATTTTCGAGCCGCCGGGCTATAAACGATGGAAGAACAATCCCACGTTTTCTGATCTTGCAACCTTGCAGTGTCATGTTTTTCAGCTTCTCACCCGCAGCCGTTTTACCGCTGATCACCCACGCGCGTTCACTTCCACGAGACCACATTGCATGCTGAGTTCCCAATTTAATTTTTCCACGTTACACGATCTCAGATTTCGGATTACAGTGCCACTTTGACACTTGCCGATTCCACTGTTGACTTCACTCCATCTACACCTACACCTTTCCACCACACCTTGCCACCGCGGCGGCTGAGGCCCTAGTCAACCTCTATGCCCAAAAAGGGCATGACCTGCAAGCGTGCAGGCGGTTTTTGAGGAAAAGAAGCCATATCTTTCTTCACCGCTCGCTCTGCGTCGCCGATCACGGCGTGTTGTGTGTGTGT